ATTTCTTTAATTCAGAGTTTGAAGTCCCAGGCACTGGGCACAATTTGATTTTAAAGATTGCTATTCATTTGTCTCCAACAGGTGAAATCCAGCTGAAGTCAGAGTGGTTTTCCACCTTCACCTCCCGAATTCCAGGAGCAGAGGAAGGAGGAGGGAATAATAAAATCACAGCTCCTTGATGAGCCTCAGCTTTCAACACCTCCAGAGCAAGGTGGGCTTTTAAATGGGGGTCCCTTCCCTAGGGCAGGAGGGGGCTCAGGAATCTTGGAAAAGCCTCTGGAAGCGCTGGAGAGGAGGGAATTCAGTGCAGGGAGCTCCCAAGCAGAAACAAAAGCCTGGAGTTGTCCAAAACACGAGGTTCCAGGGGAGCCACCAAGGCTTTGATGCTTCCCAGTTAATTCCAAACCAGGGTTTGATTGGATTGGACTAAAAAAACCCCCATATATAGATATATATATATATATGTATATGTGTATATATATATATATACACACACACACACACATATATAAAAATATATATAATATATATAAAATCTATATATATTTTAATATCTATAAATATATATAATATATAGAAATTGTATATATATATTTTTATATATAAAAATATAAATAATATATAGAAAATGTAGATATATTTTTTATATATGTAAAAAATATAATATATAATGTATATAATTTTTATATATAATATATAATGTATAAATAATTATATATATAAAATATATGTAATATATATAAAATGTATATATAATTTTTATATACATAAAAATACATATAAAATTTATATCTTTATATATATATAAATATATATATAAAATGTATATAATTTTTATATATAATGTATATAAAATGTATATATAATTTATATTAATATATATACTAAATATGTAAAAATATAATATATAATGTATATATAATTTTTATATATAATATATATAATGTATATATAATTATATATATAAAATACATGTAATATATATAAAATGTATATATAATTTTTATATACATAAAAATACATATAAAATACATATAAATATATTTATATTTATATATAAATATATAATATATAAAATGTATATAATTTCTATATATAACGTATATAAAATGTATCTATAATTTATATAAATAGATATACTAAATATATAACAAATAAATATAAATATATATATTTTTATATATTTATAGAATAAATATACAAAATACAAAATGTTTCCTTTTTACCTCACCTGCTTCATCATTCCATTGCTTCATTAGAATAGCGCTGCTTAACCAAAATAAAAAGGAAAATAAAATAAAAGGAAAAGCAAAGATTCTTTTGGGCAATGAGCAGGTTTAAAATACTTAAATAGAGGGAGAATGACAGGGTTTAATTTTTGTTGCAAGCTTTTTTGCTGTTTTTCTCCTGGTTTTTTAACACTCTCTGGAATGATTCGTTCAGAATTTAAGTCCGGGCTGCTCCGGTCCCTGGGGGATGCTGAGAATTCAGGAATTGAGTAAAAAACAGAAGAAAGAGAAGGATTTGGCATGAAGGAGCATCTCCTCCTCCTCTCTGCTTGTTCAGCCTCACTTTTGAGGAGTTCCTTGGGTTTCTGTTCTTCCCAGTCCAGCCTCCAGAATTCCCCCTCCTTTTTCCTGCAGGTTTTTCCCCAGCTTCAGAAGCAGCTGGGAAGGGCTGGGGTTGTCTCTAATCACTTTAGCACAGATGGCATCACCCTGAGATTTTCCATCCCTCCCTTTTCTCTGAACACCCTCCCAGCCACAAAATGATGGAGTTTCACACCAAATTAATGAAAATTAAGCAAACCAGGACAAACATAGCAAACATCCACATATTCTGAAAACAGTAAAAAAAATTCTCGTCCTTCAACATATTTTTGTTCACTTGCAACTTTGTCTTTCCCACAGTTAAAATAACATTTTAAATAGGATATAGAACTGATTTATACACAAATACAGGGCTTTGGGGTTCTTTTTTCTATCTCAAAATGTATTAATATTCAGTATTAACATATAAATATTGATAATATTGTATTCATATTCTTATATAGGTAATTTTTTTTATACCAAAATTAATTCTTGTCTCCAGCCAGGCAGTTTGTACCTGTCTGTGTTTACCCTGACAAATCCCTCCCTCCATCCCATGCTGGAGAACCCAATTAAATTCCACCCCATTTCTGGAGCCTTATCTCCCCTCTAATTCCCAGTGCAAAAATATCAGGAGCAAATGGAATTTTTTTTTTTTTCCCCTCACCTCTGGCTGCAAAAAATAAAATAATTACAACTTTGCAACTTATATAAAATTATTTTGCAACTTATTATAAAAAAATTACAACTGCAGTCAGGAAGGAAAATGAGTTACAATAATCCAAATGAGTCCAGCCTAATTAATAACCCCCAGGGATAAAAGTTGTTCCCACCAGACTGTGAGGGGTTGTGGCTAAAGTCTGGCATCTGTGAGCGTTAATTAATTAATTGATACCTTTAATAAAGAAGGTATGGGCTAATCCTTCCCAATGCTGAACTCTGAAAATCAAATTGATTAGCTGAGGGCTGTTTTGGAAACAGATGGGGTGTAAAGAGCTTGAGGGAACAGGGGGAGCGTGGAGAGGGAGAGATTAATTGTTAATTAATTGAGTGATGAGTGCAGGCAGCACGGAGCAATAAACCCAAAGCTCCAGGATCCCACTGGGACAGGTTTAACATCCCTGAAATCCCAAAATTCCTTTGGGAAACAGAAGAGTGATGCCTGTCCCTGGCTCTCTGTGTTCTTGCTTTCCTCACAGGGCTCAGGTCCAGCAAAATGACAAAAATCTCTGTTCCTGGTCTGGAGGGAGAGCACAGCAAGGTCTGTAACAAATTATTCCTGTTGTGATTGTATCGAGCACTCCTGAAATTTGTGTCCTACAAAGAGAATGAACAACGTGGCTTTGGGAGCTGTTAGTCCTCAGCTCTGTCTTTGTAAGGCTCAGGTGAATATTTAAAGACTATTTAATATTAATATTTATCTTTTGTTGGGGTTAAACCCTGCGCCGATGCTCACCAGCAGGCACCGGGTAGCACCGAAAGGGATTTTTGTTGGCTTTTGTTAATGATCAGGGACTGGTTATCACTGAAAGGGTTTGTTTTTTGCTGGCCTTGAAATCCTCACCTTGTGAGAATTGAAAGCAGGGAACAGGTAAATAAAGGAAAATGGGATTGTGGTGTTAATGGATAAGCTGTGCAGGGAACGGGACAGGCAGCTCTGCTGTGCTTCCTTCAGATCAACAGGACACAAATCCTGGGTCAGACTGGAAACCTGAGCAAAACCAAACATGTACCAGAGGAGTCCTGAAACACCCAGAGGAGCTGTGTGAGAACCCCAAAATCCTGAAACACCCAGAGGAGCTGTGTGAGAACCCCAAATCCTGAAACACCCAGAGGAGCTGTGTGAGCCCCAAATCCTGAAACACCCAGAGGAGCTGTGTGAGAACCCCAAATCCTGAAACACCCAAAGGAGCTGTGTGAGAACCCCAAAATCCTGAAACACCCAGAGGAGCTGTGTGAGAACCCAAAATGTTTCTCCAGCCAGAGGAGCTGTGTGAGAACCCAAAATGTTTCTCCACCCAGAGGAGCTGTGTGAGAACCCCAAAATCCTGAAACACCCAGAGGAGCTGTGTGAGAACCCAAAATGTTTCTCCAGCCAGAGGAGGTGTTTAAGCTGCAGGGAGCCTGAGGAGGCTCTGCCACAGGAAGATCCAGAGGGAGCCTCCTGTCCCAGCCCATCCAGAGCAAAGCTGAGCTCATGGGGCCCCAAGGGCTTCCCAAGGGTGCAGCCAAACACAGGATTCATGGAATATCTGAGTTGGAAGGGACACACAAGGATCACAGTCCAGCTCCTGGCCCTGCACAGACACCCCAGCAGTGCCCCCTGTGCCTGGGAGCGCTGTCCATGTACAAATTAACCTCAACTCCTGGCTTCAGTTCTCGTGTCCTTCACCTGCACCCAGCTCCACACAATTCCCACCACTCCTCTGAATTTTGCTTTGTTGTTCATTCCCACTGCAAAATCCTGAGGTGAGGCGTGTCCTTCCAGCAGTGCCCTGTCCATGGAGACATCAGGCAGAGCTTTGGGATGGGCTGTGGCTCATAGCTGAGAGTTTTGTAAGATATGTTAAACCTGGGGAACACAGGGAGCAGCTGGAGCTGCTGGAGAGAGCCCAGAGGAGGCTCCAGGATGAGCAGAGGGATGGAGCAGCTCTGCTGGCAGCAAAGGCTGGCACAGCTGCCATTGTTCAGCCTGGCCAGGAGAAGCTTTGGGCTGAGCTCAGAGTGGCCTTGCAGGGCCTGAAGGAGCCCCAGGAAAGCTGCAGAGAGACAATTGCCAAGGGCTGCAGGGCCAGGAGCCAGGGAATGGCTGCCAGGGGCAGAGGGCAGGGCTGGATCTTGGGATCTTGGGCAGGAATTGTTCCCTGGCAGGGTGGGCAGGGGCTGGGATGGAATTGCCAGAGCAGCTGGGGCTGCCCCTGGATCCCTGGCAGTGCCCAAGGCCAGGCTGGACATTGGGAGCTCCTGGGACAGTGGGAGGTGGCCCTGCCATGGCAGGGAATGATCTTTAATTTCCCCTCTGACCCAAACCTGGATTTCTCTGATATGTCCAACCTTCAGGCCAAGGATTAAGAGCCTTTCAGAAAGGTGAGGATGAATAAATCAATATTATCCCTCCAGAGGTCACCAAGTTGTGTCATTTGATATCTCAAACCCTATAAGAGATAGGGGAAATAATTCCTCAGGATGGTTCCACCTGCAACACCTCCACTGGCAGGTGCTGAGTCCCTGCTCCTAAACCTTCATGAGCCTCTGTTCCTAAAACCTTCCAGGAACATTTCTTCTGAGCACAGCGACCTCCATCCATTCTTTTGTCTCGCTTGCAATGAACCTCATCATCAAAGAGCTGCAGGATTGTTCTTTGCTTTGGCTGTTCATTTTTTATCAGGGCAGAGCGTTTGACCTCCTGCCATGATTTATTCTGTAGGATTTCCTGTTGGCTGCATCTTCCCCCTTCACACCCCTTCCAAATCCCTGGGTTCCATCTCTGCTCTGCCCCCTGTTAAATATAAAAAATGGGTTTATACACACAAATATAAACTGTGTTTAACTGTTGGGGGTTTTAGTTAGGATACCTCACTCCTGCCAGCCAGTTCTGCCTCCGCTGTTCTGTCTGCACCTAGAAAATGAGGATTATTTTCCTTACCCGAAGGAGAAGTTGTTATTTCTCTGCCCAGCACCCGGCGTTTCTCATCCCATTTAAACGCAATCTCGCAGAGCATCCTCACACATGAACGAAAACCACTTCAAAGCGTGCAAATCCAGGTCTTTCATTCTTTACAGAGGGTTGCGTTGTTCCCTTTTACAACTTTCACGAGCACACATTTCCCTTTTTAACAACCTTTGGAGCAGCCCGATGTTGTTTTTAACAAGCCGGGGCTGTGCCAGTTCCAGCGCCTCAGCAGTGCTGTGGATGTTCAGAGGGTGCCTTGCTACACCTGCTGTGGGAAATCAGCCTCACCCTCCTCAGCCCGGTGTGTGCCAGGCTGGGGGCGGCAGTGCCAGGGACACCCGGCCACAAAGGGGGTTTGGGGAGGTGGGGTGCGAGGGACACACACACACACACACACACACACACACACACACACACAGAAAGAGAAGATTTTTGGCCACTCCGGTGCCTGCGGGGCGGGGGTGGCCGGGGCAGCGCTCGGTGCCCCCCGTGGCTTCTGCACAGCGTGGCTGGGCTGGGGCTGTGCCCGGGCAGGAGCGGGACGGGGCAGGAGCTGTGCCCGGAGAGGGGCAGGGACAGTGTCCGG